TTTAATTAGGGTTTTATTGAGATTAAAAAAAACATGCCATAAGGAAATTCTCATGAAATTCGAAATATGCGGTAATCATATGATCAATATTGCATTTATGATGGTGTCATCCAAATATAAATTAATTTAAATATGATGTTCAATATGGAATTTGATGATATGATGTCATCGAAATATGCAGTAAGCATATGAATTGATTTTTTTCAAAATTTTGCCAATTCAAACATACATATATGTTTTGTCTCGATGTATGTGCCATAGTAACTATATTATATTCATATTGAATTGATATCATAATTTTTTTTTGTGAATTCAACCATATAAGAAATCATATCGAAGTATGCGACAGTAAGCATATTATATGTATATTGAATTGATTTTTCAAAATTGACGGGTTAACAATTATANTCAACCATATAAGAAATCATATCGAAGTATGCGACAGTAAGCATATTATATGTATATTGAATTGATTTTTCAAAATTGACGGGTTAACAATTATACACATGAGATTTTAACCCACTCTGATACCATATGTTAAATCAATCAAACATATTAACAGGATCAATCTTATAATTCTTATTAAGAGATGAGATTAAAGATACATACTTGAAGAGAAGTTCATAGGATGTTGATTTGTAGAAGATGAAGAAGCCATTGATTATTCTTCAATAGTCCTCTTAATTACCCTTAATGATGAGAAATGAGATTGGTTAGCTGCTCCCTCACAATATCGGCTCATGTGTTCTTGATGAACTCTCAATTGTTATCCCTTTCTTGGTGCCATTGTTCGTTTCCAGTGAGAGAGAGATTTTGAGAATTAGGGCAACAGAGAACATAAATGAATGATAACCAACATATAAATAGTTAATACACAGGGACCAATATTGACCATCACAATAGTTAGAGGACCTACATGTAAATATGGAAATAATTAATAATAAGAGAATAATTATGGATTAATAAACTTATATATATAATGATATTAATAGTTTAGGCCATATTAATTAAATAAATCTTACAGAGAGAGCTATTTCTCACCAGTGAGGGCTAAACAAGGTTCATTATCTACGAGACTGTCCCGCTTTATCGTCATCTACGAGATTCGAGTTAGTCCATTGTTGTTCTCTCTTTTAGTCGTATGTATTCTTTTTCTCTTTTAGCCTATGTTCATTTCATATATTCAGCTTCTCAAAATCCACATATATGAAGCAATATTAATCCCATTCACATCTTCCTCTTTCCCTTATTCTCCACATATGCCCGACCTGTAATGTATATTTTTAAACACAAAATGAGGGTTAGACCACAAGGTCTAGTTAAATCCCTTTTGATTACTATTAAAGTGTGAAAATCACCAAAACATTATTTGAAAGCTCATAATTGTATTTTGAAACAAATAATATATTGAAATAAACCTATTTGTCGCATCATATAGATGAGACAACATCATCTTATCGTATTGAACAACATAACAAAATATTTATCTCATAATACACAAATATGTCGCATCAAACATATATGTGGAAGTTTTTGTTGCATCCAACTGATGCGATAAACCCATTTTGTCGCATCCAACTGATGTAATAATACACCAACTTGTCGCATCAAACATATATCTCATAATATTGTATGAACTCTATTGTAATGAACCGTACAATTATGGCCCCTTAATATGTAATTTCAGGGTTTTTAATTAAAAAAAAGTATTTGGCTTAACATCAACAAAGTAAAAAAGTAGGTAACCACAACAAGAATCAAACTTTCATTGTTTGGGCACTTTACAAGCAAGGATTTGAATAAGCAACCCAAAGTACCAAAAATCAACAAGGTTTTGATAAGCCAACAACAATACAAATAATTTCACCTTGTCAAAATCTAACCCCTACAAATAATTCATATATGGAATTTTTTCATTAAACTAATAATAACAAAAATAAATGCATATTTGAACCCAACCCCATATGTAAACCAACTTAAACAAACAACCATATGAAATCCAAGATCATAGTATATCAAGCTTCTGAATTGCCCACAAGCCAAAAGAAAGGAACCCCTAAAGGGAATTTTGGAGCTAGAATTGCCTTTAATGAGTGGTTGTAAATCAATTGCCATCAACAAAATTGATACTTATTATATACTTCAAAAAAAAACTAATACATTACATGGTTTACAAAAAGCAAAGGACAAGGCTTAAAAAATCAAAAAGTGAAGAAAAATGGTCACAAGACTTGTAAAACAAAGACCTCCATCAACAACCCAGATCTATTTACCTAAAGACAAAAGAGTGGATAACAGAAGAGCAAATTTGCGTTTGAATAGATCTATTATTCAAGATAATGTTTCACATATGTTTGTGTTCATTTTCTGACTGAAAAAATTATGTATGTATGTATGTATGTATGTATGTATGTATGTATGTATGTATGTATGTATGTATGTATGTATGTATGTATGTATGTTGTATGTATGTATGTTGTATGTATGTATGTATGTATGTATGTATGTATATGCACCAATTAGTTATGTATGTGATTCATCGAGCTACAAGATATTTGTCATTTAAAAAATGGATGGTCATTGGATCCAATTACAGTTGGATATCCGATTATGATAGGTCGATTCTAATCGAATCGGTCAGTTTGCAAATGATCCGCACTTCATATGTATATATATATATATATATATATATCTACGTATGTATATGTGTAGTGGATATACACAGTGGTTATATTTAATATTGTATGATACATATATGTATACATTATATATTCATGATACATACATTCACGAAAGAAGGATATTGGGTCTTTATGGTCTTCATATTTGACTTGGTAGTTGTTTACGAATCTTATTGGGCCTTATGGGCTTATATTTGACTTAGTAGTTGTTTACGAATCTTATTGGGCGTTTATGGACTTATTAGACTCACTAATTGTTAATGGATTGTATTGGACACTTATGAGCTTTAGTGATTCTTAATGAACTTGAGTGGTCCATGATGGGCTTTAGTGACTCTTAGTCAACTGTGTTGGGCCTTGATGGGTCGTATAGGACTATGTGGCTGTTAATGAACCTAATTTGGACTTCATGGGCTGTAGTAGGTGGTATTGAACTTTATTGGAATTTAATAGGTTTTAGTGACTCATAATGAACTTGATCAGGCCTTGATTGGTTTCAATAACTCTTAATGAACTACAATGGGTCTTGATAAATCATAGTTGACTCAATGGTTGTTAATGAATCTTATTGAGCCTTTATGGGCTTTACGGACTCTTAATGAACTTGATTGGGCCTTGATGAGTTCTATTGGACTTAGTAGTTGTTAATGAATTGTATTGTGCCTACATGGCTCTCAACGACTATTAATAAGTTGTACTGGACCTTGATTGGTTGTCGTGGGTGGTAACGAACTGTATCCGGTCTTGATGGGTCATAATCGACTCATTGTTGTTAATAAATTATATTGGCTATAAGTAATATCCGTCAGTGATAGTCTTTTTTAAGTAGTGTCTCTTTTCAAATTTATGATACAATGATGGGAAATATTGCATTTAGAAGTCCGTTTACCAAGAAATTTATAAAAAAGAAAAACATAATTGTAATGTTGGGATGGGGTGGAAACATGCGATATTTTAATACGTATGACGATTACTGTAATATTATATTTTTCTTTACCAAAATTTGTAAACTGATTTTAGTTTTTTGAAAACGTAAACCAGGCCGAAAACCGAAAATCAAAATATCGTCAAACATCTTAGCTGTCTAGCCACATTCGTTGATTTTGAAATTGTTTTTCTTAATAACGACTTGTTTAAATTCTATAATACCAACATCAAAAGCCAGTAGTCTTGAATTTTCTATGATTCTGATTTAACCATTTGGAGGTTTGGACGATCGAAATTATTTAATGAATTAAAATTATTATATTAATAAATCACGTACCGGTGGGAATCATAATCCATCGACTAATAAAGCAATACACATCAAACCCAGTAAACGCTCAATTTGTTAAGTAGTAAGTATTTTATCTTTATTTATAATCATATAAGGTGTGTATATATACACACACCTTATATGATTATATATAAAGATAAAATACTTACTACTTAACAAACTGATTAGTTTATGATAACTATAAGATTCAATCTCTATCACAAATCAATTGATAAATTAGAAAACTAATATTTTTGGTAATTTGACTTAAAATTATAATTAAAGGGCATTTTAATTATCTAAAATGATTGGCTTATATTGGATCTCACAGTTATCACAAATAATATACTCGTTGATATCAAATCATTATCACATTGTGTGTGTGTGGAGGTTTTAACGAGAACACCCCTGTTTTACGAGAATGTGAGAACATTTATAGATCTCCAAAAAATTATTAACCAATAAATAAAATTAAAAGAAAATCAAGTAATAATTCAGAATAATCATGTGATTTCGTATTTATCTGTAATATTGGTGACATCCTTATCTCTAAAATTATGTACAAATAATATACTCGTTGATATCAAATCATTATCACATTATTATCACAATAAAGTCACATAGCGAACAAGCAGAGCGATGATTGTAAACGTGATCATCATTGGTTTTCGATTGTCGTAGCATTATTATAATGTTATCACAACAAAATCACATAATTTATCAAATGATTATCACAACAAAGTCCCATCATAAAAAATCTTCAATCTATAAAAACATTATCATATTATTATCACAAGAAAATCAGATTATTATCACAGAAAAATCATATTATTATCACACCATTATCGTCAAGAGACGGATCAACATTTAAGAGATAAGGATAAATCTAAAATAATAGAAAAATATGGATAAAAACTAATTTATTTTCATTTATTCTAATTTGTATTATGTATTAATTAATTTGGAGGTTCATAAGTGTTCTCACATTCTCATAAAATATGGGTGTTCTCGTTTGAACCTCTCTCTATATATATATTTTCATGGTTGTGGCCCTCTCAAGGCTTTCACCTATATTTGGATTTTCTTGACAAGCCTTTCTTCTTCGAGAGAAGCCAGCAATCATCTATCAGTCGGAGGAGGTGACGATGACCCCTCTTTAGGAGGCGGAAAAGATCCGTCTTCGGGGGCGGCAATGGCGAACCTTCTTCTGGAGGCGGCGAGGGCGGCAATGGCAAACCTTCTTCTGGAGGCGGCAAGGGCAGCAGCCCGTCTTCAGGGGGCGACAGAGGTGGCGGCGCGTCTTCTGGAGGAGGTGGTGGCGAACCGTCTTCGGGAGGCGGTGGAGGCGGAGGCCCGTCTTCGGGAGAAGGAGGAGGCAACGGCGGAGGCAATGTATCTTTGGGAGGAGGAGGAGGCGGTTGTGAAGGCGATGCATCTTGGGGAGGAGGAGCAGGTGACGAACCGTCTTCGGGAGGCGGTGGTGGCGATGGCCCATCTTGGGGCGGCGGCGGCGATGAACCACCTTCGGGAGGCGGCGGCGGCGACGAACCATCTTCGGGAGGCGGCGGCGGCGAACCACCTTCGGGAGGCGGAGGCGGCGGCCCACCTTCGGGAGGCGGCGGCGACGGCCCACCATCTTCGGGAGGAGGAGGAGGGGAGGAACCACCATCAGGAGGAGAAGGAGGGGACGAACCACCATCAGGAGGAGGTGGAGGGGACGAACCACCATCAGGAGGAGGTGGAGGAGACTCGTCTTTTGGTGGAGGTGATGAGTCGTCTTTGGGAGGTGGTGTCGCCTTGTCTTTTGGTGGTGGCGGCTTGGATTTTGGTGGCGGCGGCTTGGCTTTTGGTGGCGACGACGGCGACGGCTTGGCTTTTGGTGGCGGCGGTGGCTTGGCTTTTGGTGGCGGCGGCTTGGCTTTTGGTGGCGGCGGCGGCTTGGCTTTTGGTGGCGGCGGTGGCGACGGAGGGGGCTTGTGTGGTGGTGGAGGCTTGTGTGGTGGTGGCGGCTTGTGTGGGGGCAGGGGCTTGTGTGGTGGTGGAGGCTTGTGTGGTGGGGGGCTTCGGCTTATGCGGTGGGGGCTTATGTGGTGGCCGTGTGGTGGCGACGGCTTTTTTGGTGGGGGCTTGTGTGGTGGCAGTGGCTTGTGTGATGGTGGCGGCTTGTGTGGTGGTGGCGGCTTGTGTGGTGGTGGCGGCTTGTGTGATGGTGGGGGCTTGTGTGGTGGCGGCAGCTTGTGTGGTGACTGCGGCTTATGTGGTGGGGGCTTGTGTGGTGGTAGTAACGTCTTTTTTTCTGTGAAATGGTCGAAGTAGCAGAAGCAACCAGATTTGGCTTCACGAGCGTGACAAGCTCCATGGACTGCACCCTCCCAAGATATGCACTTTTTGTCGCACTTCTGTTCATCGCATTTCCCGAATGATGTTTTGCTTGGCTTTTCACATAATTTTGGTGTCGCTGCCGCCTCCTCTATTTCTAATCATGGAAATTAATGAACTTTAATTAAAACAAACCAGATAAAAAAAATATTCTTCGTCCCAAAATAAATATCCACAATGAAAACGATACACAATTTTTGCATTATATAACTATTACACTTTTAGAATGACTAAATGACACTTTAATTTTGATAACAGAGGAAAACTTTTTTTTCATCTCATAATTAAGAGTACAATTGTTACTTCTTTGCTATGTTCAGCAAATTAGCTATAGATCAACTGTTAGTCGAGAAATTAGTTGATGAGCTCAATAATAATTTAAAATATATTAAAAAACATGTTTTAAAAATAAATTAGAAAAATATGAGAAGTATTATTTCGGATATAAAGTTGGTAGAAACTTTTTTAAGCTTATTGAAACACTATTCAAATTAGTTTTTCAAAAGGCTTACGATTTTACTAAACTAATTTTTCAATAAACTCAAAAATAACTAATTTATGGTTTAAATATGACGAAAGCTTTCGATTGAGCACTAGAATTCCCGATTACACCATACAAATGGACCATTTATCATTCCCGTGTAATTTATACAACTTCAAATTTTTCAATTTACTTTTTTACTGTTAAAGGAAATGAAACATAGAAACGAAAGCGATCTATTTTATGAAACAAGAGTCGAATAAGTTTGATTAAGAACCTGAGAGGGCAAAAACGAAGAGGAGCAAAAGGAATGCAAAGAAAAAACCCGACCTTTTGGTCATTTTGAAGTTATAAAGAACAATAGCAACGGTCTGCGTGATAAAAAGGTTAAGAGGTTTGAGGGTATTTATAGTAGAACCGAAAGAAAGAGCTTTAAAAATATACTTATGATGAAATAAATCTTGAAAATTATTAATTAAAAGTACCACAATTTTCATTCATATTGATGTTGATGCATACGTTTTATCAAAACAAAAAACCATAAACGATTAATATTTATCCGGGTTCTAAAATTCTTTATAAAAAAACAAAGAGTTATATATTTTTTTTAAAGTAAATTATTCATCATAAAAAGTAGTCATGTTGATATTTTATTTTATGTTAAACTTAACAAAAAGTCATGTTGTATACCATTTTTTTGAAGGTGTAAACTTTTGGTGCATCACCAAAGTGATACTATTACCTTTTATATATATATACTTGGGATCATATGAGAGCAAGGGTTTTTCGTGAGGCCCGTAAGACTAATTCTCAACCTTTGGATTAGATCTACAATCTAAACATTCATAATCACAAATCGAGCCTATTTGAGTTCTGCTCCATAAGCCAAAATATGTATGAGGCTTTCAGCCCGATATTTCAATATGACAACAATAGGATGATGCGTATAGAGGGAGAAAGGGGCATGTAATTCATTCAATCGTAACCTCATTTGCCTACAAAAATGTTGGATTGATGTTAGTAGCTATAATATTTGTAAATACAAATAAAATCAATAAATCTCATGTAGGATAAGGTCTTGAAGTAAGATATACGCATACTTTCCTGTATCTCAAAAAGCGGAGAGGTTGTTTGTGTGAATACTTTCGACTTGTAAAACAAAAACTAAAAGAAACAAGAGAGCAAGTTAATATGCAAGGAAAAAAAGGGACAAATGTGAGGATAGTAATTGCCCCCCTCCCCTCTCCTTTTAAACCCTTCTATGAATCGAAAACGAAGTGACACCAACAAGGTCGAAACTCAAATTCCATTGCCATTCATGATGCAATTTTTTTTATTAACCTGGATATCCAACCCGTTATGCGAGCCGACTAATCTCAGTACGATCACCTGCTCTGCAGATAGCCCGGAGTCACTGCATTTGAACCTCCGTGCCCACAAGGGGATTCATGATGCAATTTCAGGTATTATAATTGGTTAGGTGTTGTTAAATGAATTCTTTGAAAAATCGACTTGGAAACACATGGCTATTATTCATCGTTATCATTATAATAATGCTTACTCGGTTATTCAAGATCTGTAAAAATATTAGTTTACGCCTCGCAAAAGGCTTAATATGTCAAGTAATAAGCATTTTCAAAGAATTTCGCATTGGAACAAAAGATGCACGTAAAAGTAATCCAGAATATATTTTTGTTACATTTGTTAAATAATTTGATCGAACTTCTTTAGGTTGGAATATAATATCAATGATTGCTCAAAAACATGAATCGCCTGCACGATACATCAATGGAAAAAGGTTGGGATAAATACCCAACCAATACGAATTAACTAAAAGGCTGAAATTTAAAAATCTTGAAGAGTAAGCTAACGTCAAAAATTTGGGACAACAAAGTCTAAAAGAAAAGGTCTATACACAAAGCCTAACCTCTGAGCTACGTCTTGATTCAACCAATCTGAAAATTCACATGATTATTGTTCTACAATAACTGAAACTCCTGATGGATACTGCCTACTTTTAAAAATAAATATCCAATTAAAGCAGATCTATTATATATCGACATTCCATAAACAATGATTCAAAGGTATTATTTCAAGTGTATTGTGAATTTACGATCAGTTTTTTTTATTCAACTTTAATATATTTGATACTTGTACAGAACAAGGTTATATTCTTGAATAATATAATGAAAATATTAGTAGTGTATACAAAATGGTGAGTTCCATTTGTTATAATATAGATCAATAGAATTCTGAAATATAAATTTTAATTAAAAAAATGCTTATTTATACTTACACCAACAATCTCCCCACTATTTATGATGTCAAACAATTGCCTTTTTCGGAAATACAAAAAAAAATTGCAAAATACACCATATAGCCAAAAATAACAATTTAACGTCGTTACAGCCATTTCCTGGTTTTCTCCTCCGTTGACGATGAATTGGGATATTTTCGAAATTTCTTTCTCTACCCCTTTTGTTGAAGCAAAAAAGGCAAGAAATGTGGAAGTAGTTGCTTTTTTTTTGTTAAAGAGGAAGGAAATGTTAGCTCTCGCTAAACCCTAAATCTTAAATCTCTCGACAGATGACAAAATAACATATCATCTTATTCGCTTATTTGTGAAAATCGTTTTAAAATATGTATTTAGGTAATAGGGAAGCGGAAGAACTGCACATAGGTTCAAGGCCAGACCGACTACTCCAAGAGCACTCATCCATAAACAAGTTACTGATACAAATAACATAAAGAAATGTAACCAACGTTTATTGAAAAAAGTAACCGCTAAGACTTAGGACCAAAAGCGATTAGCAGTGACCATTGAATAAGTTTCTTCAGCTTGAGTTGGGTTAAAAGCACGGTATGTATTTGCGCCATCACCACACCACAATGGTGGTGGTGAGGGATGCTAGAGATGGTGACCAGCGTCAGTGCATGCCAGAGATTTTGTAAAAATAATTATTATAATATAACATTGTTTCATATATGAATAAGATGAAGTATATTTCGTATATGAACGATAGTTTTATAACGTTTCATGTGTACATTCTGTTATATATGAACTAAGTTTCATATATGCTCCATAACATTGTTTCATATATGAACAAAGATGAACTATGGTTCATATAGTTTAATGTTTCAAAGGCGTACCTATGCTTCATGTAAGTCCTCCACGGAACAGAAAACGTATGAAACATCAAATTAAATCTGAATGTAACAACCAGTCTCATATAAAGAGAAAATGAAATTTGTGAAATACTTATAAAACTCAACTTGTGGGCTACAAATAACTTTCAACATGGTTTTAAGTTGAATTCAAAGTTATTGGACTAAACTGTTGTTTTGGATTTTTGGATGTTATAATGAATTATGAAACTCGTGACTTTTTGCTTGGGTTTTTATGAAATTGTTGATGAAAATAATCCCCATGTAAAACTTAAAGAGATTTTTTAAGTAAGTGGTCGATTTTTATTTAAGTAGAACTAGAAGGGTACTCGTCCAATGTATCGAGATATATTTTCATTTTAATGTTTCGTTTTATTTTTTATCCATGTCGATATAATACGATTTTATATGGTTTTGAAAAAGCGATAATATTTCTATTTTTGACTAAATATAAATTTGAAAATATCATAAAAAATTTATAAAAAATATATCAATATTAGTATCAAATAAACTATTTAAAAGTTCTTGTTTGTGTATTTTTTTTTAATTCAAAATTTTTATTATAATTTAATTTAACGTAACAAAGTAATATATTTAGGTTTAATAATATATTTTTTTATAAAAGATAATAATTAAATATTATGTTAGAACTCAATAATTATCCTAATTATATTTTAGATTTTTTATATTTTAAAATGAGATGTTTATCCTCTATTTGATTATGTTTATCCGCAGTAAGTTACGAATTCAAACATAGAGCTTTAATAAGTTGTACTTATGCACAATTTACTTGTAATCTTGAATTTTAAGTAATATGCATCAATAAACAATACTTTATGCATAATAAATAATTTTTAAGAGTTTTTGTCAAATGCTTTATAATATAGTATAGATATATCTTATTAATTTGAATAAATAGAAAAAGAATAGTCTTACCCCTCTAGCTATTTGATCTGCAAAGAATACAAGTCTAAATGAAAACTAGATGGATAATTATGATTAATTTATAAATTTCTTACAATTTGGATGGTTTTGCAAAAGAATATGTGTGTATATATAGAGAGAGAGGGGCCGTTTAAAAAAACTGGTTAGTTTATGATAACTGTGAGATCCAATGTGAATTACTCGTTTGAGATATTTAAGGATATTTCTTAAGCAAGCTGAAAAGGTAATATAGTAATTCTACTTTTGATAACTAATCAAAACATTTAATTAAATTTTTTAGAAGACAATATTTAATTAAAATTAGTTACATAGTATATCAATTACCTACTATACATCTTATTTTAAAAATGTTTATGAATCAAAGTATATCATAGTGATAATGTTCACAATGTTTCACGTGTATCACAATGTATTTTCTTTGTTTTATGAAATGTATCATAGTGTGCATTTTTGTTATTTTCATTGCTTTACAAAGGGTATCACATTGTGCATCTTGTATGTATATCTGGATATCAGTGAATATCGTTTTTAGTTATCACAGTGTGTATCTTGTGTTCATATAAGGCTCATCGGAATAAGGTTCGCTGAATAAGATTTGTCGGAGAGAGAAAATGGGCAGATGAAAGAGGATATTTATAAAATCCCTAAAATGCTCTTAATTAATATTTTAAGTTAAAATTATCAAAATTATTAATTTTCTAATTTAACATTTGATTTGTGGTTGAGAATGGATTTCACGGTTACCACAAACAAAATAGTTCTCATTTGAATGGGCCTCTATACACACACACACATATATATATATAGGTGATTTATTATACAACTCTTTACATTTGTACAACTAATAAATAGAGTTAGCGTATCTTATATATATAACAATACGAAATGTTTAAGACGAATTCCATCGTAATACCAACCTTTAGGTTTATGGTACAATTAAAGCATTCAATTTGTATGAAAATTCTTTTACGATGGATTCAAATTTTGATGAGTTTATCGAATAAACATTACTGTAACAAAATTAGTTTTATAGGACGTCTAGATTGTCTAAGCGTCTTAATAAAATATTTTATAGAACTTGGGTTTATAGGATCAAGCTATAAAGCGTTTTATCTACAAGTGTTACAATAGATTTATATAACGTTTTTAGATGTCCTAACAAGTTTTTTAGAACGTTTTAAAAAAAAGTATCTCATTAACTATTTTATAAGACATTTTCTGGAAAGTGTCT